TTTTTTTTTTGAGTTGTAGTCTCACTCTGTCACTCAGGCTGGAGTGCAGTGGCATGCTCATGGCCACCCCAGCATTAACCTACTGGGCTCCAGCAATCCTTCCACCTCAACCTCCCAAGTAACCGGAACTACAGGAACATGCTATCACGCCCGGCCAATTTTTGATTTATTGTGCTACCACGCTCTGCTAATTTTTGATTAATTGTAGAGATGAGGTCTCACCAAGTTGACTGGACTGGCCTCAAACCCATCGGCTCAGGCAATCCCCTCACCTCGGCCTCCCAAAGTGCTGGGATTACAGGCTGAGCCACCAAGCCTGGACCCTGCCACAGCTGTCTTGAACTATAAGGCCAGTCTTATCATTCCTCTACTCAAAATCCTTCAAGACTTTCTAGCACTTATTAGAATAAAATCTGGGACTGGGCACAGTGGCTCATGCCTGTAATCCCAGCACTTTGGGAGGCAGAGGTGGGAGGATTGCTTGAGGCCGGGAGTTCGAGAGCGGTCTGGGCAACATAGAGAGACCTCGTCTCTATAAAATATCAAAAAATTAGCCTGGTGTGGAAGCATGCACCTGTAGTCCCAGCTACTCTGGAGGCTGAAGTGGGAAGATCACCTGAGCCCAAAAGGTTGAGGCTGTGGTGAGCCGTGATTGTGCCACTGCACTCCAGCCTGGGTGATAGAGTGAGACCCCAACTCAAAAAAAGAATAAAATCTATGTCCTCCCCGTGGCCTAAATAAAGCCCTACAACATTGCCAAGCACACCCCGCCTCAGATCCATTGCATTTGTCTGGAGCTCTATCCGTAGATATTAACATGTCTCAGCTCGCTTCATTCCGGTCTCTGGTCAATTGGGACCCTCTCAGAGTTCTTCCGGACTGCTCTATACAAAATAGCATTGCAGATCACAAGTTCTGTTACTCGTTGCTTGCAGGCCTTAATAAACAAGCGTGAATTATAGTACAAGGAAAGTAACTTTATTCCAAATCCAGCAGGTGGGGGAGTAGCCAGGCTCATGGTTCAAAGGAACCACTTCCAAATTTTAGGTGGTTGGTAGGGAATTTTAAGGGAATTTTAGGGAAAGAATGGAATGAGGAAACCCTGGAAGCAATACCAGGAGCTGATCTTGCTTTGATTATCTCAATTGTCATCCACCTTGAGGGCTGGCTGATATAGTCCCAATTGTGAGCAGTGGAGAATTCTACCATAGGGTCTCCAGACTCTGCTATGACAGAATCAGCCTCCGGAATCTCACAAGCATGTGCACAGTCAGATTAGAAAGGAATGATAAACCTTTAAACTGTAGACTTAGAGAGAAAAAGGCTTAAAACCATTCTCAAAAGCTGAAATGGAAATTCTTACTTACAATAGCACAATCCCAATCATTCTCTTGGGGAAGGTCCCAAACCCCTTCCTATGTGTTTTTATTTATTTATTTATTTATTTATTTATCGAGTTGGAGTCTCACTCTGTCGCCCAGACTGGAGTGCAGTGGCCACTCCCGGCCACTGCAGCCTCGACCTGCTGGGACTCCAGTGATCCTTCCGCCTCAGCCTTCCAAGTAGCTGGAATTACAGGTGTGTCCTGCCACACCTGGCTAATTTTTTGATTTATTGTAGAGATGAGGTCTCACCAAGTTGCCCAGGTGGGTCTCAAACCCGCAGGCTCAGGCAATCCACTCACCTCAGCCTCCCAAGGCACAGGATTACAGGCTGAGCCACCGAGCCCGGCTTTCCTATGTATTTTTTTTATTTATTTATTGTATTTATTTATTTTTTAGAGACAGAGTCTTGGTATGTTACCAAGGCTGGAGTGCAGTGGTTCTTCACATACACGATTTCACTACTGATCAGCACTGGAGTTTTGACGGCTCCGTTTCCGACCTGGGTCATTTCACCCCTCTGTAGGCAACCAGATGGTCCCCTGCTTCCAGGAGGTCACCATATTGATGACAAATTTAGTGCAGACACCCAACTGGCAAAGCGCGCTACAACCTGGAACTCCTGGGCGCAAGCAATCCTTCCGTCTCAGCCTCCCGAGCACCTGGGACGGTATTATGTATTATCTTTACTGTAATACGTATTATCTTTTTTTTGTTTTTTGAGTTGGAGTCTCACTCTGTCGCCCAGACTGGAGTGAAGTGGCCGCTCTTGGCCACCGCAGCCTCGCCTGCTGGGCTCCGGCGATCCTTCCGCCTCAGCCTTCGAGTAGCCGGAATTACAAGCATGCGCTACCACATCCGGCTGATTTTTTGATTTATTGTAGAGATGAGGTCTCGCTGCCCAGGTGGGTCTCGAACCCGCGGGCTCAGGCAATCCACTCACCTCAGCCTCCCAAAGGCGCGGGATTACAGGCTGAGCCACCGAGCCCGGCCATATTATCTTTACTTCATAGAACTTATCATCATCTGAAATCATCTTATGTACTATATTTGTTTATTTTTTACTGTCTTACCCATGAAAATATAAGATTTATGAGCATAGAACTTTTGTTTGTTTCATTCACTGCTGTATTCTTACCACCTAGGACAGTTCTTGAAATTGGCAAATATTCAATGAACATTTATCGAATAAGTAACAAAATGGATAAAATCATCACTTGCAAATAAATTCACAGTATGACTTTATCCAGCCACAGTCACACTGTGACTGGACGGATATGACAGTGACGTCGGTGGATATGACAGAGTTAGTAAGATCCTTTTTGAGTTAATTCCTGTATATGGTGCCAGGTAAGCCTTTTATTTATTTATCTTTGCATATGGAAGTCCAATTGTTCAGATGAAGAGATCCTCTTATAGTAACCCTCTATTACTAATAATGTTAGAAGGTTTAGGTTTACTGCCTAGCATACATCTGAATTCCTTAAAAATCGTAAGATTGTCTTAACTCTCCCTGAAACAGAATGAGTCACAGACCCCATGGTTGTAGTCAAACAGTTAGTAAAATAGGTTGTTATCATCCCTGCAAGGTTAAAAATGTAGGCCGGGCTTGATGGCTCAGCCTGTAATCCCAGCACTTTGGGAGGCTGAGGTGAGCGGATTGCCTGAGCCCGAGGATTCGAGACCAGCCCTGGCAACTTGGCAAGACCTCATCTCTAAAATAAATAAATAAATAAATAAATAAAATAGCCGGGTATGGTGGCACATGCCTGTAGTTCTGGTTACTTGGAAGGCTGAGGCGGAAGGATCGCCAGAGCCCAGCAGGTTGGTGCTGGGGTGGCTGTGAGTAT